GGGGTGGGAGACAGCGTCAAAGGCCTTGCTGAAGTCCAGAAAGACTACATCCACCGCAACATCTGTGTCCAATGCTTTTGTGACCTGATTGTAGAAGGCAATCAGGTTGGTCTGACAGGACCTGCCCCTAATGAAACCGTGCTGGTTGCTCTGGAGCATCATCCCTGCTGTTGGCCCATCACAGATGTGCTCCTTGATGATCTTCTCAAAGACTTTACCCAGGATTGAAGTAAGACTAATGGGCCTGTAGTTGCCTGGGTCCTCCCTCTTCCCTTTTTGGAAGATGGGGACCACGTTGGCTTGCTTCCAGTCATCTGGCACCTGGCCAGAGCACCATGAGTGCTCATAAAGCAGTGCCAGGGGCCCCGCAATAACGCCTGCCAATTCCCTCAGCACTCTGGGGTGGAGAGTATCTGGACCTGCTGATCTGAACACATCCAGCCCCTCCAGAAGCTCTCTAACCTGGTTGTCCCTGACCTTAGGCCTGGCAGCGTTTCTCCCGAGTTCATCTGGACTCCTGGTTGGGGAGTCCTGGTCCCTGCACAAGAAAATGGAGGTGAAGTATTTGTTAAAGAGGTCTGCTTTCTTCTCTGGTGCAACCACCAGATTGCCAAGCATATCCTGCAGGGGCCCCACATTACCTGGTGCCTTCTTCATTCTGCCTATATATTTAAAAAAGGACTTTTTATTATTTTTGATCCTTGATGCTAACCCTAGCTCTGTATCTGCATTAGCTTTTCTAACAGCCCTCCTACAGAGATGAGCGGTGGAGGTATACTCCTCTCTGGTGATAGCTCCTCCCTTCCACTGGGTGTATGCCTCCTTTTTGGTAATCAGGCTGTCACAAGTGCCCTTGGTGAGCCAGGGGAGCTTTTGGGCACTCTTGCCCCCTTTGCTTCTTTATGGGATTGCCACCCCTTCGGCTCTGAGTATCGTCTCTTTAAGGAATGACCACTCATCTTGGGCACCCAGTTCCCCTACTCTCCAGGACCGTAGTGCTTCCCCTAATAATCTCCTCAGCTCATTGAAGTTGGCCCTCTTAAAGTCTAAGGCTACTGCCTTGCTGCAGGCCCTTGACACCCTGTGCTGGATGGTGAATTCCAGCAAGTGATGATCGCTATCACCCAGGTGGTTGAGGACCTGGAGTCCCCTCACCAGCTCATTGCCTGTGGCCAGGACCAGGTCCAGCAGGGCATTCCCCCTGGTAGGACTGTGCACCTCTTGGGTTAAGTGGAGATCCTGTATCTCAGCCAGGAACCTCCATGAGCAGTCAGACCTGGCTGACTGCTGCTCCCAGCAGATGTCCAGGTAATGGTCCAGTATGGGTCATGTGCTGGTGGGCATGTGTGACCCAAGGGTGAAGGGGGAGCATCTGCGGCAGCAAAACCCTCGATCACTGGAAGGAGCTGCTGGTGAACAGAGTCAGGGAGGCAGAAAGGCAGAGGCAGGGGGGTGTGGGAGAGAGAGATTCCCTTTCCTGTGCCAACCACAAGCCAATCTTCTCCAACACAGCTGCTGCCAATGTGGGCCAAGGCATGGCTTCAATGTTGGGGTCCAGAGGTACCAGACTTGTGTATATGGATGTATTATCTATACTTGCACAAAGACTTTGATTTGGCCACGTGTATGTTGTCAGCATGCAGGCAAATCCTGTCCTTTGTGCCTCTTTCCTTTAGCAGCTAATTTGAAAATAGGCCTTCCACTTTAAAAAAAAAAAAAAAAAAATTCTTTTTATACCTTGTGAAAAAAATTATCTTGTAAGGTGGTGGATGACAGTTAATAACATATTTTTAGTCTAACATTCCTTGCTGTTTCTTGACTTCCATATTTTAGGGTGTGCCCGCCTCCATTTGACCAGGCGCTCTCGGGCTGCCCTAGCCCGGGTGGCCGCTCTCCTTGGCCACGAGTTTGCGAGAGAGCCCCGGGAGGTGCCTCGGGTGGTGGTGGGAGGCCCCCTAATCTCGTCTGCCACGACTTTGAGTGTAACTTCAGTGGTGGGGGTCTCCGTTCGATGCCGCCTCCCAGGGCGTCGCGCCTTTGGTGGGCACTCACGGGGCTCCGACCTCCCCTACACCCCGGCCAATTGCCACCTGCTGCTGCTGGTCTTCTAGTGGCCTTCCTCCGGCGGCCCCACCGTGTTCTCGATCCTGAGCCGCCCGGGGTCCCTAGACTTTAGCACCACTACAACCACGTGCTAGCCCCGAAGTAAGCCCAAGCTAAAACTAAAACTAAAACTGAAACTCCAACTCGTATATCTCACCTAGCCCAGGCTCTAACCCAGGTGCCTAAGCCCCGACCGATGGGCCCCCCTTCCGGCTACCGACCTGCCAGGAGGCCTAAGGCCACCGACTTCCCCGGGCGCCTACTCTCTGGGCTCGTGACCCCCTCTCCCTGGGAGTCTTGTCCCAGGTGATCTTCTCCTCGCCGAGTCCGCTGCTGGCTCCCCGCCGGCCCGTCTGTCACTTCCTTCATGGGGTCCGCAGTCGGTTACCTCACTGGTCCTGCCACCCGCACTCCTGCTGTGACTGTAGCCATTTCCTCCTCCCGTCGGGTTGCCGACGTCCTCTTCCTTTTTATCCACGATCCTCACCC